CCTTAAACCCTAAACCCCAAAACCCTCACTGCCTTTCAATAAAGCCCGGTCAAGCTCTTCAGAAAGCCGAAGTTGAAACCCTTAAGCCGTACCTTAAACTACAGAAACCTACTTTTTTGTAGGGTCCCTATAAATTCTATATGAGGGTTTAGGGTTTAGGGTTAAGGGTTTAGGGTTTATATAGTAAGGACCTACAAGAAAGTAGGTTATGGTAGTTCAAGGTAAGATTGAACCTCCGAACCCCTGACCCCTATAATTCCGATTGGCGTGAATCTCCAAACCGCTGTAATGTAGCGGTCTAAATAATTACCTATACTTTTTTTTGGGGGGGGGTTCCTTATGAAAAATATTGTATAATGGGCCTCAAAACCCCTGTTTGACTTAACCAGGCCCCTATATTAAGCCTAAGCCAAGCCACAAAAACTCAAACCCCGAACCCGCCCGCCCCATGCCCCTAAACCCTAAACCCTAAACCCTAAACCCTAAACCCTCAACCCTAAACTTTAGAATGCCCAGACCCCAAACCTCCAAACCCTTAATTCCCAAACCGTAAACCTCCAAACCCTTAGGGTTTAGGGTTTAGGGTGTAAACCTCCAAACCCTTAGACCAAAACCTTTTAAACCCTAAGCCCTCAACCCCTAAAACCTTTAGCCTTGAAGCTAAGTCCTGAAAACCTTAAACCCCAACCCCTATAGAACCCTAAAGCACAATATAGGGAACCAAATAGTTTCCAGTTCTATTTCGGGTGCTCCTAACTATAGCTATAGTATAAGATCCCTCAAAACCCTAAACCCTAAACCCTAAACCCTAAACCCTAAACCCTAAACCCTAAACCCTAAACCGTTTCTGAACTACACAGGCAAAGCGCGTGGTTCCCGAGTTCCTTCGAAACTCCCTGTCGATAACAGGCCGGGGAGCATTGAGAGATTCAGGGCGTGTACTGTAAGGGTTTAGGGTTTAGGGTTTAGGGTTTAGGGTTCGAAAGGATGTACCGTGGTCTTTAAGCTTCTATACCCTGAACCCTAGACCCAAACTCTGAACCCTAAGCTCTAAGCCCTAAACCCTATAAACTCTAAGCGTGATACTAAGCTTGGTGGGTTCAGGCCCCTCTCCCCTCTCATGTAGGGTTCTAAATAATTACCAATACTGGTTTAGGGTTTAGGGAGTTTTTGTTTTGAGGGGTCTGCGTAGGGTTTAGGGTCCAGGTGAGCTTTTTTGTTTATGGCTTGGGCAACAGTGCTGCTTTAGTGTTGTTACCTATGCGGCATGTTCATGGGTCCTTGAAGGTCATAATGTAGAAGCCTTAATCATTAGAATTGACTTTCGGGGTATATTATACTATAACTACGATAATAAGGAACCCTCAAAATAATATTGGTGATTATTTAAAAACCCTAAACCCTAAATAGGTTCCTGTAATACCTTGTCGGACGGTAGGGTGTAGAGGATCAGGTACAGGTCGTTGGGGGAGATGTTTGCCGGTTCGTGGCTATGCTCCGCGTGCCTACCTAGTCTTAGGAACCAAAACAGGACAAACATTAAACATGGGTGGGACGTTCCTACTGTTGGCTTGCTGAAAGAAGGGATGGATTTCATGGGATATCCCAAACCCTAAAACCCTAAAACCCTGGACCCTTACACCCCAAACCCCTAAACCCCAAAACCCAAAACCCTAAACCTTAAAACCCTAGACCCTTACACCCCATATCCCTGAACCCCAAACCCGAAGCCGTGTGCTTCTTTGGGTCTCCATCACCACAGCCTCTGCCGGGTGCTTCGTCATGTCAGTATTTGTCGTCCTTGCTGTAGGAACAGTAGCTTCCGCCTCCTGGCACTGAACTAGTATTGCTCTGCCGCACCTAAACCCTAAACCCGAAAATCCTACGCCTC